TGCTACCTGGCGGTCCTCTTGACCACTGACTGTGACGGAATGCAATGGATATGTTGAAATATTAATGGAGGATTACTCCGGAAGTAGAAAGCGCTGAACGCCCCGCGGGGCTTGGAGACGCGTTGCGTCAATGAAAGACGCAACAAATTTTTTTAAAAAATAATAAAAAGCAGCATCTGGCAACCCTGGTCGGGGCTCGAAAGCCGGGGCTGAGACACAGCAGTGGATCTCAGCTACACTAGTCGGTCGTACCTTGGAGCGCGTGTTTGGAAGCTCGAGGACTTTCACTTCGCGACCTTTTCAAGCATACCGAGTTTCTTAGAAATAGACAAACTGAGACGATATGATCCATTGTTTCTGTTTACGGTAAGAAGGGCATTTATCGTCTAGGGAATGTTTGAACGCATCTTTATCTCTCTGGCCGATCTTCGAAAGCTATTTTCACTGCTTCTCGTTCTGGTTTCAATCTGCCCCTTTTAAACTATACAGATGATTGATATTTATCTTATTTCTAAATAGTATCCACGTTGTTTGTCTTTCCATGTTACCTTTAACCCTTTGCACCCAAATGGCCAGTTATATACTGGCCACACCGCACCCCCCGTTAGCTCTGAATGGCTTCCGGCTAGGCAGTGTTCCCAACTGTTGGTCTGCTTGACTGTCCACTCACTCTTCTGCGTACGCTCTGCCATGTTTGGCTATCATGCACCGCCGGCTCTGGTTTTTTTTCTCTAATGTTAATTGAATTGAATTTGCCTTATTTTATGCCTCGGGCCATCAGGCCCGCTCTTCCGTCTGACCACGCAAATTTCGCTATGCTCCTTTCATCTAGCAGAGAAAGGAGGTATTTCTTGGGTGAGAAACATGCGATATGAATTTAGCTCAGAGGCGTCATTTAGGCTTGAGGATCTTTTACATGCAAGTAAATCTACTAACATGGGACAGCCGGCTTTACTTCCCCTCCGAAGGATTTTGTCCGGACGCTAACCGTCACACCATCGCCGCCGTCATGTAAATGGTGTATTTAAATTGAATGAAATACAGTTAATTACAATATATATATTGTTTATTTATAACGGTACAGAAAAAGAATAAATATTATATCTTTATAAATGGGCTTCTTAAGTCTTGTAGTAAGTAAATTGTGTAGTATACAGTGGTTATATTTATAAAATTTTAGGTACCGGAACGTGCCTCAAAGTAATTATTAATTTAATAGAAATAGTTTTATATTTATAATACAATTTAATAATTATTCTCGAGATACCGTACCATCGCGTTCTGACAGAAATCAAGCCTAGTAATATTTATTTTTTAAAACAAAATGTCAGGCTTGGTATACTCTATAACTAAAGTAGAACAATATCCAATTTTTAGCTTAATATTTTTCAACAATCCTCCATTTCTCTAAAAAATATTACTTTTTGATAATTTAAGATTTAGAAACAATTTTTCAATTTATTATCTCCAAAAGCCGTCACCCCTTTTCTTTCAAATCTCTACCTTCGTCATTTACTAACGCCTCTTCGGCTAATTTGTGATATAATATGTGGATATTTTCCGTAATCTTCGTAATCTCTGATTTCCATAAAAATAGTTTTTCTTGTTCTTTTCTCTTACAACATACCCCTTCGCTGTCATTTTCTGTACTGCACTCAATGAGTATAATTGTGTAATAGCAAGTTAGTATAGAGAGTATACTCTCTTCTGATCCCAACTTATCGTAATAACGCATTTCTTCACATTTTAAACCACACTAAATCATCTCACAAATACAAATTTAGGCAGAAACGAGTACGATAACCAACAAGTGCTACAGATACCGTTACAGATAATGATAATTGCCCTTTTTTAAGAACGGAAAAAGGCCGAAAACGAAAAGCCACATTTTTCGAATTAAATAAAAACATTTCAGCGGTATCCCTACGAAGCTGAAGGTAATGAACGCATTTTATTTGTGTTCAAATTCTCACTGACCAGGAGTGTGTTCTAGAAATTTTAACTTGCCAATACTATTGGCCATCAGAGATTTGACAGACACAAGCGAAAGAAGTAGACACTACTGCTGGCCATTAGACCGAAGAGCCATTTTCTTAAATTGCCTTCCTCAGTGCAAAGGGTTACTGTTTATTATGCGTTACGCGTTTTATGTTAAGTAGCATCAACATTTCACTGACTGTTTTCTGCGTAACTTGCATTACCTTTGCCATGTTTATTACTACACAATACATGTACATTTACAATACCTGTATTTCCTCACATTCAGTCAGATTTAATGAGTTGAGCATCCTCACTACTGACCTCATTTTATCCCATTTCGACAATATTGCATGAAGCCTTCAATGGAATTATCCTCCTCCGATATGCAGAGGTGTACCTAGAGACTCAAGCGCCCACGTCAAGAGTAAAATTTGCGCCCCTGTCAGGATACTTTAAATTAAGGATATTTGTTTTAGCGAATATACTCTAAATAGTGCCCTTGTGAGAGGCGCTGGTGGCTCGTACCGTGTAAATACCATAACGTAAATACGCCTATATGTGGAAGTCGATGTAAGAATAAGCAAGCTTTGTACTTTTTCGTCCATGATTGCAATTTTTCCTCAGTCCAGTCCGTCAGTTCGAAGTTCGGCTAAATGTAATAATAATAATAATAATAATAATAATAATAATAATAATAATAATAATAATAATAATAATGATGATGATGATGATGATGATGATGAGGGAGTTAAAATTGCTTATTATGACGCGCCGCAGCGACAAAAGGCGCGCTGATCGAATTGCAGTTGAACAAGAACAATGAAAGGATACAAACAATTAGCTGTGACTGCCCACTGAATACATGGTTTTAATATTATGAACGAAAGTGACTGAAAACTCCTATAAGGTCAGTTGTAGATATAAACGAGGAATAAGGTTGCCTACAGCAAGAGAGATGCAACCCTTCTTGCAAATGTATCACGATGGCTGCCTACAGTGTTTGGTATATTCCGATGCAGAACACATCCAAAAATCCTTTTGTCTATCACAACAACATACTACTTTGAAGCCATCATTTTCAAACGTTCGGCATAAATTTGAAATGTCTTGCTTAATTCTCATTCCCATAAGAAAGAACGTCTTCCCTTATTAAAAAAAGAAGAAATCTTATAAATTATTTGCTTACATGTAATTTTTGTCAGTAAATAACGTTAAAATAGAGGTTATAAAACTCTTGTTTATTTCGCTTAACTAGTAACGACAGAATAACGCTTAGGCATTTGCGTGCACTCTAAAACATGTGAGAGGTAACTATTACTCGCGCAACTTTTCTTGAACGATGACCATGCTTCCCGCTCTCTGAAGCTAAACAGTTGAAGATAAAAGCTCGCAGCGTGCACTGGTGACAATATTCCAAACACATCTTCACTGGCGCAAAATAGAAACTATTTGCTGTTGAAGACAGATCTTCTGTCCGTGATTTTCTCCACAAAAATATAAAGAAATAAACGATCCAGGAGAAAATCTATCACAGGAGATACCTCGAACGCATGAGAAAGTTAGAACGTAAATTATTGAGAAAGTTGCGAAGGAATAACTATTTAAATAATACCCCCACTCTACCCGCATTTCTTCAATCCACGTCGTTCAAGAAATGTTGTGCGAGTAATAGAATTCTAGATCCATTTAACTTTATTTACATCGCGTATATTACAAGTACAATAATTTTAAAATGTATTTCTGGGCAGTTGTGGAAAGGATTGACTCCGACTTGGCAGTGTTTCTTTCGAGATGGTTTCGTAAATCTTTAGCAGTTTTTCGACCGATTTGGGTTTTTTCAGCAAATTTTTAGAGGTTTCTATGGGGAATCGGCTCTAAATTGGCCACCTTTCAGGGTGAGATTCGATTTTTGCCTCGTGTTCATCTGTTACACTCTACATACACAAAGAATAATTTGTAATTATTTCACAGTTTTAGGAAAATTTAAAAACTTTTCTACATTTTTGTGTAATACATATAACATGATTTCATAAGGTTTATAAAATATCATGGTGCCAATGCAACAAATTCTTAATTTTTTTAGAAGGTGAAATTCACTTGTTAACTCTATGCTGACAAATCTCCAAATAAAATTTCAAGTATGTTTGATAAAGAAAATTAAGTCAAAAATATACAGTACATTCAAAATATGCAATTGTATTACAGTTTTTTGCAAGTGTATATTATTGTTCTGCAAAAAATTAACAGCCATAATTAATAATAATAATAATAATAATAATAATAATAATAATAATAATAATAATAATAATAATTTTTTACTTATTTTGTACACACAGATTATAAACTTCCACAACCAAAAAAAGTGTCAACCACTCACATAGAATTATTTTAGTGATTTTCCAATAGGCTTATATTAAAGTGAACTGTTACATCAGCACCAATTCAGGCTAGATCAGATGCATACTGTTGGCTGTAAATACTTTACATAGATAATAAATAATTTTTAAAAAATTATTGAAAAATTGCAAGTCAACGAGTATTGACTAAAACAGACAACGAGTGTTGACTTTTAAAACTAGGTGAAATGCCAAAATTATTCACATATTTTTTAAATCTAGATGGTAAGGCAATAAAACTTTCATACAAATAGGTACGGTAAGAACACGGTACATTAATGTGTCCTTCTGTTGGTCATCATCACTGTAACTTCTTAAAAGTATAAACAGTTCTACATATTAATCTTATCACAGATTTAACATATTTACAGAAATAAAAAGTATTTTAACATTACCTCCTTTCAAAATTTTCAGAGGGACCATTGCCCTCTCAAATTCCCTGTTTTGTAAGCATATGAACATACATACCATTTTTTAATGCAAAAATGAATGTTTTAAAATATTTACTAAATATTCTTTAGCAGTGTTTAAAGACCAGAATGAAGGAGTGACTGGAATTAAAATTTTGTAAAAGTTTGAAGGTACGTGATTGTTGATCTGATATTGATACGCTTTTCATTGCAGACGTTACAAAAATTCAATCAAAATGGTGGTCCCTATACGAAGCTGTTGCCTACTTTTCAATCTTCGACAAGGAACCATGCTAATGGCTGTTGTTGAATTGGTAAATACATATACTGTTTTTAATAATTTTCTTACAACTATTACACTATTGCACATTTCTCTTTTGTTCTTGGGTTTATGGTCAGTATTTTTCAGTCATATTTCACGTCCAATAAATTTCAACTTATTTGAAAGTGATTACAGATTACAAGATAACTACAAACTTTCATGTCTTTCAGATACTCTCTGCTATCTGCCTCTTTCTTCTCCTCCTGGCATCTGGACATGCTCAGGAAATGGCAGCTATGTTAGAGGCAGATATTGCTGAAAGTCAACGTTTACCTGTAGATGATGAAACAGGAATTGTCCTATACCACAACAATGAATCCCAACTGCATAAAGCACAGCACTTAGCATTTGGTGTATTTTTAAACTTATTTCTTTTATCAAAATCCATTTTTAAAAGGCTATACAATTGTTGTTGTTGTTGTTTGTTTCTTTTTAATATTTCTAAAATGGGATGAATGATTCTTGAAAATAGTAGTAATTCATTCTTCTCTTACAGTTATGATTATAGCTCTCTACACAGGAATTGCTATGGTAACAATTCATTTGATTAGCTGTGTTCTTCTCCTGTATGGATCAATTATGGTATGTTAAAATGTGCTAAACTCATTCACTTTGACTAGAAAAGAAGTAAATAAAACATAAGTAGTAAACATTTATGTGATGTACTAATACAAGAACACATGATCAAGAAGTGAGAATTCCTTCTCATCTTCAACGAGTACAATCAGCTTTATATTTTAATTCTTGTTTCAGCAAATTCGACAATTTCTTCTGCCATGGATAAGCATTGTTTTAATAAGTCTGGTAGTAAGCTTCACTGGTCTGTTGGTATGCATGATTCTAGGATATGGAACACAAAGTGCACTCATCATCTCTTCTCTAGCTATTCAAATTCGTAAGTATGAAATACATATCAAAAATGTACCTGTACAAAAAAATAGTTATGAAATAAATGTGTAAAATAAGAATTTTAATACATCTCAAAAATTTTATATTTATAATTCTATTGATCAATTATATTTAAATGTATGCAACAAGATCATTTTACTATTATATAATTTCCTAAAATGAATCTGGGAAAGAAAGAAAAAAAGAAAAGAAAAGAAAGAAAGAAAGAAGGGGAAAAAAAAAAAGAAGGAAAAAAGCAGGGTAGTCTTGAAATTAATTATTGGCAAGTTCTAACAGTAAATGTCATAAAAACAAATGTCAAAATATTGAGAAAAGAATACAATCGACATCATAACTTTATTTTTGTAGTTTCCAACTTTCACAGAATAATGTGACAAAAATAAATTAGTATATTTAAAAATAAGACCTTTAATTTGGAACATCAGCTTTGAAAATAATTGGCAGATTTTTATTATTCGAAATAATAATATCTGTAAGTTTAATACTACTCACTTCACAACAGGTTTCTGCTTATGGTTGGTGGTGTTCAGTTTCTACAGACAAATTTATGAAGAACAAGCTGCAAGTTGTGCTGTCCTTGCCCAGCAAGATATGATGAGCATCAAAGCTGGATACATGTATCCAATGGCATTAGACGGGAAGCCTTCAAATGTGTAGCTTCTAGTGATTTACACAAACTTGCCACTACGAACTGTGCAATACATCATTATATTTTAAAGAGCAGTGTGTGCCAACTTGCACACAGGTAAATACTCAAATTAAAAGCATCAGTTGCTTCATGAATTTTATTATGTTGAGAGTTATTTTATTGCACACATGAGATTTTATTAACCTGTCATTAAATAAAATGCAGGTATTGTAAGTCCATATTTTATACAAGTATAATAGAAAGCCAAGCAGTAAAATTAGCTCTTTATACTCCACATGTTCTGTGATCAATGCTTAATTTTAAGAAGTGGCATAATTCATGACAATACTTGACAATTTAGAACATTTGATAAGTCAGTTGCATGTTATAATTTTGTTGTGTCATCATTTTCGTTGTTGTACAGTCAAAACTTGATACTACCTCTTTGGTGGATAGTGTACATTTTTTGTAATTGTTCATTCAAGTAACAAAAATGTAAAAAGCATTCAGAACAAAACCAAAAATTTGTTCTTTAGACAATACAACACAATACTGCAATTCTGAAATGAAAATATACTCACACTAATTCTTCAAGAATTCAATTGATAAAAACGATCTTCAGATGATTAATTATTCTTGAGGAAAAAGGGAAGTAGATAAATTAATTAACATGCATCTGGTTATTTTGTACAATACCAATCTGCGCTTAAAATACACCAATAATCTGATTTTAAATGCAATATGCATAAAAAAGATAAATCTGAAGAAAAGCACATTATCAACATTATGCTCATGTGCTTCGCATGCATTTCTAATTCACCTGTTTCAAGTTGAATATAGTTGTGATGATTGGTAATATGGAATTGTAACAAAACAGCTTCTAATGTATACAATATGCTATGATGAAAATCAATTTTCTTTATAATTAATGAGGAGTAACAGAGAAATGAACAAAAGAAATTATAATTGACAAGTAATTTCATGTGTAAAAATAACCATCTAATTCTACCTGTAATCTCATATTTAAACTTACTAATATTTGCAAACTGTGCAACCAGTAACTTCCTGGAATGTGGCAAATTTTATTGCCATTGTTCATTTAATGTAATGTAGTAAAAATATGTGAGAGATGGTATCTATTTCTACAAAAATTATTTTTCAAATTAACATGGGGTAATAAATCAAATTGTGCCATTCCAATAAAGTCATAAAATTCATGAGTGCTTTATTTAAGCCAATCACGGCACTTTGTATGTACAAGAAATTTCAAATTAGATCCTACAAGATAATACATAACATATTGGTGCAAAATATACATAACCAAATGTCACATAGATTTTCTTACAATAAAACATTTAATAAGTAATAATTGTATTTTGTCTTTTCACAATCATATTTACATCTCAATAATTCCTTTCTTATCTGGATCAGAACCATTTACAACCAATGTTTAACATTAAAAAGTATACGTAACTATCTACAGAACTTCAGTTAAGCCAGAAATACAATATATACACAAAAAAGGACAGAACAATCCTGATATGAATGCATTTAAGTACTTTCATCTTACAAATCAAAATACACAATATTCTGTTATAAATAATTAAATAAAATGTGGGAATCATAATACTATACTTCCTTCTCAAACATTGATACATGTTTCTCAGAAGAAGACAAATGTGTATTGTATTCTCAAAACTAAAGGATATCTTCCTTGATCCAGGCAAGAGACATGATTCAAAATATTTCCTTTTCAAATTGACATTTATTAAATTATTCAAACCATTACAATTGTTTTAAGATATTTGACTTTGATGACATTGACATAAAAAAAATCTGCAAAGAAAATACTCAATGTTTAAATGTAATAACAACCAAAGGCTAGATCAAATTATTACAACCTCAGAAAACAAAAAAAAGAACATAATAAAAATAATAATAAACACATGAATGAACTAGAAAATTAATACTTTGTGGCATGACTTACTTTTTAATCCACATATACTACTACAATTGGCAAATGCATGTGTTTAGGAAAAAAGCATGCATGGAAAAAAATTGATTTGATAAAAAGGTTTTCCCTGCCCTCAAAAAATTAAAAAAGTTGTACTTTTAGTTATTAATAAAAATGAGATTTAGCCAACTTATTTTATTGTAATGGAAAGAAAATATTATATTTTATCAATCAGTAACCGACTGTAACACGAGAGAATCTCTGCAGGATATAAACTGACAAAATGTAATTCCTATTTTAAGCTCCAACAATTGCTTAAGATGTTTTCAAAGACATTACTCAATCTCAATCATACTAGTACAATGATGCTGATAGCTTAGAACCAAAGAATGAAATTTTTATCAAAGTCAAATTTATTGGGAAACGTCTTCTGAACGCTCATTACCACTATGAAACTTGTGTATTCTCTAGGCACAAAAATATTTTTTTTAAATTATAAAATCACTAAGATATATACATTTCCTAGTAATTTGAGCATGGAATTTTTAACCAGAATTATATAATCTCCCTAAACTACATAACCACAGTGGAAGAATATAAAGTTTAAGAGGAGTTTTCCTACGAAAATACATCTGGTCTGGTTAAGGCAAAGCTGTGATGATGCATTATTCTAGTACATTCAATGGCACTTCATTATTTGTCAAAACTAATTGTCTACCATCTAAACAATGAATGGAAAAATTCTTGAACTACACTAACACATGAATAAAAATTTGGTTATGCGTTATAAAACACCCATTCCATCAAGCAAATTTACATATTTTCAAGCAAGTTGCTACAATATTGTACATGTTGTGTTTTTATGAATTTAATTTCCTATTTTTGAAGATACATGAAACAAAAGCATTATTATTCAATAAAATCAGCCTACCTATGACAAAATGCGAAGGAATAAGATTTCTCAACAATTTTGAGATTCTTATTCCTTTCTGTATTACTACTTTGATAATTACTATTTCAGTCTCTTACACAATAAATCAGAAATTGTCTCAAGTCAAACAGCATATTTCATGGGATGTATAGCGTGTTTCAACAAGTTGGTCATGAAATAATCACATAACCACCATTTCAAAAATACTATGTACAATTTTTAATTATGATAACTATTTTCTCATGGTTTCCTCATTCACTTTTTTGCTAGATGTAATTGGGGTGGGTGGTTCAGTTCTTTCATTAAGAGTTCTAGAAAATTTCTGTTTACCCAAAATAGCCCATTCCTGTTGCTTTTATTTTTTTTCACAATTTAATAATGTATTATTAACGACAGGGAGTAGAGTATTTGGAGTTTAAGAAAACATGCACAGATTGAAAATGTATTATAGCTTCTAGTTATTCTAATTGAAACCATTCCTGAATTTTATATGAATAAGTGAAAATAATTGGTAAATTTCATTGACAAGAAGTTTGCATACATAACTATTCACAAGTACATAACAAAGTATGATTCCTCAAATACTAAGTTGTTGAACAATTGCTTCCCATACAATTCTGACTCAAATACAATACTCAATTCTGACATACAATGCAAGTTTGATAATGAAACAAACAATTTTTAAAAGCATCTCAGGAAAACAATGAGTTTCAAAATTAGTATAAAAAATAAGATGCCCAAAAAGTTTACTGGAATTTAAAAAATCTGCATCATACATTTCTTAAGTCTACTAAACAATATAATTTAACTGAACACTCAGAGGAGGATTAACTTTTGTTACTGTAAAAAACTAGTATCACCGAAAAACTATATTTGTGAATACGTATTGTTTTCTTCTGAGGGAGTGAACTGAAGTTCAAGTCCTCCCTTCCCCAACTCTAAATGTACCATAGTATGTATATATGCCCAGATAATGTTTGTAATATTGATGCATTATTTATTGCTAATGAAAAAAGGCTTTAATGATGTCTCTATTTTAAATACGTTAGAGGTGTTTTGGCAAACAAGTCTCTCCTCTTACTGTCCTAAAACGTCAACAGATGGTGAAGAAGGATGATATTTGGTATATTGAAGCTGAATTCTCATCTTTTCTTATCATCTTCATCTCGATCAGGATATTGCTTAGGAAACAATTTTGATGATTTCTTCCTGACATGTTTGTTGGTGTTAACGAGAGGACCATTTTCAACCAATTATTTCTCTCTTATCCATAGATCATTTGTCTGCCTTCTTTGAAGATCTTGACAATTGCAGTGTTTTTGCAGAAACTTTCACCATGTGGGCTCATCGATAGCAAATTTCCAGCATAATAACATAATTGTTTATTTTTTTCACTCAGAAATTAAACATTGGAGCAGGGATAGTAGAAGACTGCTGAGGATTCAGATATTTAAAGGTTGGTGTACTATAACCTTTTTTCTTGGCTAATTGTAAGTAAATAAAAATTTTAAAAAAACATAACTAATTTCTGATGTATTTTATTCAGTTTTTTTATTATAATGTATGATAACTAAATTTAACTGCTGTTAAAGAATATGTTCACTTTTCAGCTTGTTTCTTTATTGTAATATTAATCATATGTGATTTAGAGAAGAAAGAAAAATAAATTAGAGAAATAAATAAAAGGCCTCAACGTCAGCTTAAAGCTGCTCAAGACAATGGTATGTGTCTTGAACTCAAAAAAAGAGAGAAGAAATAATATCTCCAATTGATGTAAAATCATAAATTCATTTTCATGTATATTAAGGTATTCTTTATTTATTTTGACTGATCCTTTTTCTTCTCATCAGACAACGATCATAAATGGTTTAAATTAATCATTAAATTAAATAAAAAAGTAAAGGAAGTCTGAAATACTTACAAAACCAACAAGCTGCTGCAAGTTAAATTTAACTGAGAAATAAGCCATTATAAACGATCGTCTTATGGTGGAAAAAGAAGAAAGACAGAGAGAGAAGGGAAAACATTAAAAAAGAAGGGTAATAATGCAGATTTCTAAGCTGCAATACATTAACAATATAGAAACTTATTGTTTCCATGAAAAAATAATTTATTTAAAGTACATTATAACGAAATTAATGTAAATCTAGAAAACAAAGATGACCAAAAAGAAGCTTGTGAGAAACCTGAAGCGAAATCAAATATCAGCTTCAAAAAAGACTATTAGATGTTATAAAATACTACACCTTAAAATAAGAAAAACTTTTAAAATTTGAAATAACAAATTCTTAACATTTAGTTTTTCAAATATGATTTTTCTATTGATACGACAAAAAAGTAATGTTTATAATTGTAGCACTGTGATATTCGATGCATTGGTAAGTATTAAAACAACATTTTTATTGCATGTCTTGTCATTATCATAATTTAGTACTATTACATGTTTACTTTTTTTGTACGTCTTTAGTAATTTAACTAACAAGCATAACTGTATAATCTGAGAGTTTAATGCATCCACACACATATTCAATTTCAAAAGGAAAATTCAAAAAAAGGTTAATATTTTTACAACTGATAACTTGATACATATATTTTGGAAGTGTCTACTTGATATCTTATAAGTTCTTATTATTCCAAATATCTCAATAATGATAATAATATCTCAAATGCTAACTTTTGTAAACAGAAAATCAATGTACCACCAAATAATTTGTGTTACATTACAATTATTTAATTTCCAATCTTCATTCTTAGGTTGCAATTTCCGTAAGTCTCACTTTGAATGACTTCATCTTCATCATTTGTTTCCCTCAACAATGAGAGTTCAATTTAAATCACTGATGATATCAAAATATATCTCTTCTGAATTATAAAAAGATTTAATATATTGAACTATGGAATATTATATTACAATAATTTGAAGAATATATCATGCACAAATTAAAGTCATTACAATAAAAATTAATAAAAATTCACCAAGAGAAACCAAATCACAGGAGCTTGTATTCTTGAAGTTTATCTCATGTATTGTACAATGAACTTGAGAAACTCTTAACATTAATCACTTAAAAAGATGGATTCTGTACATATCAATTACAATGTATATCCAAAGACACAAGGATTATGAATACAAAAGTTTACAGAGAATAACATAGAAGACATAAGTTGAGCAAAGAAGTTACCAGGCCAGTGTTCGAAAACATGACTAGATTAATTTAACCCATGAAAACTGCTGTTGAGAAGAAACTCTAGTTAATCATCTGTATTTTAAATATCACTGACTTATTATAATTTCAATTTACCAGAACATCAAGTAATTGATTACAAACAACATATATACCTACTTTATCTATCAACTTCATCATTCGGTGTCTTGTTTTCTATACACTGATTTGCCAATGGCATGACGAAAACCTCCAAATAGCGAGGTATCGCAAATATTCACAGAGAGAATGAAACAAAATAATTAGATCAATAACATGATTCTGTTACACACTCATCAAGCACCATCATCCAGTCCTTTCCCATTTTGAGGACCAGAAGAAAAGATATAGATACATTGGCATTTACAATTCTCCATTTTACATTTACAATCACTACATTTTATCATCAGTCATTTCAAGAAATTGAGCATAGACATCTCTGGAACACTCACCCTTGTTGTTAAAAAGGAACTTGTAGTAACTGCCATCAGCACAAATAACTGAAAACATACAATTTAAATTACTCGATCTACCTCCCAAAATTCAGTAAGCAAAAAATACTACATCACAACCTCAAGACTTGAACAATTGTATGTCGCATTTCACTGTTTCCTAATACACTATCCAGTCCACACCAAAGTAAGAGATGGAAGGACTGGCAATTTGCACATTGCGTGCTGATGATACTCACAGAAAGTGACAATTAAAAAATTGCTATTTTGACTCAAATGAAAAAAAGTATATAGTAGTATAATGTAGTTGTACTAGTAAAAAGATCAGTTGGTGTACAGAACAAAACACTGCCTTTACATGCAAAATAAATTATTGCAATAAAATCATTTTCTGGAAACTAACATTTTTTTGTCACTTTTCTTGTGAGTGTACAACTTCAGAACCTTCAAGAACTTTTAAAATCTTGCCAGCGGTAGTGTATTTTAAGTTTGGTTTGGTTTAACCAAACAGGCCTAGATTGTCAGTGCAATTTCCTCAGCTTGTACAATATTGAAAATAGAGGGACATTGCTGCAATTTTCACAAATAGGCTTGGAATTGGAGTTGCACATTAAACAACTTCTAAACGAAATCGTTTTAAAGATTTACAGTGCTTGAGAATTCTACATTTTCTGATGCTAGATGAGAATGACATACAAGACAACTATTCAATTTTTAAATGTCTTGATTGAATACTCATATCATGTTACCTAACAAACTCAAATGAAAACCAGAGTGATAGCAGAAGTGGAGTGTAACCTCATGAATACATTTTCATTTACAATACACATGCGCACACACTTTTAGATATCCATGCACACACAGTTTCTGAACCTGGAATTTCACAAAGTGATTATTAAACATGTTAATAATTTCCGTAAGAAATTAAACATTATTTTAATCACTCATTTTCCTCATTATGTATAAATTTTGATTTAAATTATGATTACTCACTATCTCAGAATCTATTAGGTGGAACATACACAAATTCTAATGTAAAAGTGTAATTAAACATGTCACATATCATTTATACACCCATTAATGAACTTACATGAAGTGCACGAGCATTTGAAAAAACTTATGTGCAAAGGAAATAATAAAAAGTAACAATGGATAATAATTAGTGGAATTGATTAAAAGAAGGTTAAACATACCTATAACAGAATTGTTGTCAGTTCCAAAGGCACACATACACTGTGGTCCACCGGGCACTTGAAATTTGCAGAAGCTCCAACTGGAGCTGAAGTACTTGGGCAAAAAGGAAGCGGATGCTAAACTGAAAATGAAAATATAAAAACTTTGGATTCAATGTACATTTAATTAATATTAAAGGACTTGCAAATCCCCCACAATGCAGATCATCACAAAGATGAACGATGAAATCAGAAGGTCAGTTTTATCCCACTAAATAAAATCATTTGATTTCAAAATGAGGTGTCCATTTGCCAACCTAATTTTCTCATGACGACTTTACTACCTTTTAAGTGTAGAAATCAAACTAAAAATTGTAAAATCTTTCCTTTGCAAATCCATGAAAGGTTTGTGAATCTTTGCAAATTTGGATTCATCAGAAAATTCAACCTAGCATTGAATAGTATAAAAATAATCTGGCTTCATTTTAAGTCGTTAGACCTGTGTAAAATAGGCAATATGAATGAATGTGCAAACAAATTTTTAAAATACAGTTCCTAAATATTGTTTTTTAAACAAGGGTCTTTGATTTTAATTGAATTTTATAGATAACTAATAAAATAGAAATTGCTAAAGCACTTTGTGCAATATGTTTATTTAATCTATTCTAAAACAATTGGTTCAAAGCAAACATTAAATTAGGTTCAGAATAAATATTAACTGTAAATCCTAGTCCCTTTTAGATATGATATTTTTATGACTATACTCAATTGGATTGGCACAGAAACAAAAAACGCAGAAGACCCAGGACAACAAATAAAACAGAGGAAGTTAAAAAGAATGAGAAGAAATGACTGGGATGTATTAAAAGAATACAATAAGGCTGCACTAAAATGAAGAGGGATATAAGATGACAGAGAAAGAAACATCATCCGTGAACACCTACTCCCGCTACTACTACTTAAATTACTACTTTACATTAAAATTAAAATTCATTCAAAATTTCTGTGGCATAATCTAAGCAATGTGCATTATTTTCCTATTAGTGACTGCAATGAGATTCAACATTACTTTTCAATTATGTACAATCTCCTTTCAATGTCAATATTCCTCATGTGACTAGACAACCTTCAAGTAAGATGACTGCTCTAACACTCAATTTCAAGTGATGGAAATTTTCTCTGACATAGGCAGACATTTAGTTTAGTAGTTCATAACCCTTTACATACAATAATTTTAGTACCAGAGAACTGCAACCATTTGAAAAATAAAGCTGAAATTTAATATAGAATTTACTTATACTTAAATCATAGACTAAGGAAGTAGTTAGTGCTTTAGTTCATTACTGTATGCTTAAATGGACAGTTGCCTCGGATTAAATTTTACAAATTTCTAGAGCATGCAGACGGGTTGCAAATTATCACTTTTTCCCAGTGAACATACTGGGTCTTTACCTTAACTTGCAACCCATGTCTGGGAGCACTTATTCTTGTTTTAGCAATTTGGCAACTGTGTGTCTTTGACTCCTTTCAAAACAACCATGGTTGGCATGTACAGACAACAGAGGTGGAGGTGAGCATCAGGTCATAAGCTGCAGCAACTTTTCTGTTTCTGTGTTTTTCCCATTCAAGGGTTCAGGTGGGCAGGTACATAGCACACACGCCAGAATCTTTTCAGCTGCGCAGGGAGGGAAGTGAGGGTGAGGGTGGGGGGTGAGGGTGGGGGGTTGGGGCAGAGGTATGAGTAGACAAACAAAATGTCTCTTTAGGAGATTCTGTTCAGTATGCTTAAAAAACATAACTGTAATATTGATGTAGGGGGAAGTTATGACTGAATTACTGATTTACTATCAGCAACATAACAATAATCATCATTTTAAAAAAGCTGGCTCAGAGAGAAATCAGAAAAATATCACAAGAAACGTTACCGCCAAAGTGTCCATTATTTAAAACACTAATAATATAACATTATTGATAGGAAATCTGCAAACTACACAAATAAGAAAATCTTAATAAAATTATTAAATATATAAATAAAATATAAAAAGTAGTAAATTATAAAAAAAAGTAATAAAATATACGTTCTCTGAATGACAAAGATCTTCGAATAAATGCTCAAAGTGACCACCATTTGCCACGAGATTGGCGTTTGCTCTTTTCAGTGTAATGACTGCAATGAGTTGAAGAGCAACAAGGACAGAATAAGTGCTTTCTCACCACATTAGCCACATTCTCTCAGCTTGAAATCTGAGGGCAAGCCAGGGGTGTCTAAAAGTGAAAAGGATGCCAAAGGTGTTTCACGCATTGAAAAACTGCCAAAACAAGACATTGCGTTTCCAGACATGGATTGTGAATTAAGATAAACACCCGGTACAACACAAAATGTTTTATACAACAAAGATTGTGTAATTGTACCCTTCTGTGGTCAGAGTCACGGAAGACTGTCGGCATGTGGGGGACACTGCATCGGGTACATGGTGCCGACATTTTGACAATCCTATTCATGGTCTTCTTCCCTGGCACTTCAGCCCTCAAGAAAACCACAAAGGCCCTCGTCTGTCTGTGTGACGCAGGGCCAAAGGCAACGATACTGACATTTCAACCACCCTTACACAGTCTTCTTCACTGGCACTACAGCCCTGAAGACCATGAGAGAATAGTTGGAATGTTGACGCAGCATCACCCGGGCAGCCGAGAGCCTTCACCAATGGTGTATGCGATCTGATGGATGCCTCTGCAACTGAGTTGTGTAACATTCAGAGGAAAATGTCACGTGTATAACTCCACTATATGAAATTTTCTTCTATATCTTCAGTGGCAAACATTTTTGGCTCCTCCAAATTTCCAAAAAGTATGTACCATTTACTCTGAAACACCTGCAAATCTACTGCCCATATAATGTAAGCAATTGACATAATATTTGATGTTTTAAATTTAATTATATTTTTATGAGGTGAAACTTTCTGGTTAGATAGTAATCTTGAAGATAATTTAATTTATCTTTGACATTCTAAATTAAGGTGTTTTAATTAATAGTGAGGTTCAAATAGTAAGGCCTGCTCTTTCACCCGACCACATGACTTCTAAACTTAAAAATATGAAGTAGTTGGATCTGTACAAACATTCCACTCTCAGTGAATCAACGTTTTCAAGGTGAAAATAACTTCCTAGTGCAACCCAACGTTGAATGTTTTTGATCTGTGTCACACAGTTTGGGAAACCCACAAAATGTTAAAGGAACGACAAAGGTGTCATATTATAGGTTACGGCTCAAGCAACAAAATCAGTATCCCAGCAGGGTCACGGAAATTTGATTGTAAGGTCCTAAAATAATTCTCTAAATACATTATTTCAGAGTTATGCACAATAGTAACATGTGTTGCTCTGTAATATTTCTTATAAGTTGCATGTATGTCTCATTTTCTACTCTGCAAACATATTTTTTCATCTCTCGAATCTGTTACTACCAGCAGTACACTAACAAAATTTGTGTTGGTTTCTCATAAATGTTACAAAACTGTCATCTTACCTTAATATATTAAATACAGAGGGGATTTTTCTTGAAACTGAACTTCATTCAATGAAAAATAATTTCAGGAAACAATAAAATGATTTTTAACTAATGAACTCTCTAGCAGCAAGTCACCTAAACAAATATAATTAAATAGAAATGAAATCACTACCTTGATTGTTTGTTTAACTTTTGATCTTCAACTGCAAACACGTGCACAGTTCCATGGTCACTGGCTACACATAGGCAAGATGAATCACGATTGAAATTGATACTGAAAAGAAAAATATTTCAATATATTACTTTAAAATAATGTAAACAAGAAATTCAAAATTACCAAAATTAATATTTACCAATATATATTAGCTGTATTGGCACCTCGCCTAAGTTCATTTATCATTGTTCCCGATGCAGCGTCAAACACACGAACCAATGTACCCTGAAGAATGAGACAATCAATTTGCAAAGCAAACATATTTGTGATACACTGTTGTGATACTCTAGTGCGTTACAAAATAAGTTTAAATGCACCATAAAAGATACCTTTTCAGAAGCTGTTGCAAGTCTAGTTCCCTGTAAATTTAGAGCAATGCAACTCAATGCTGCTTCATGCGCAACAATATCTAAAGGTGCTTTTTCTGTGTTTGCCAGATCCACAACTTGTACATGACCAGTTTTTCTTCCCGGAAATGCCAATAGAGAATTATTACTGTTGGGGCACAAAACACACAATCCTGGACAGAAACCAATTGAAACATTGAAAATTAAAATAATTTGAAAATGTTTCAAGGCTTTTTCAACGTTTAAAAAACTATACCCATAAAATGAACTTAAATTAGTAGTGTGACTAAATAAAAACAGAGATTAAGCAGAGAAAAATAGCAGAAAAATGAATCCCTATAAATAAACAATTACAAAAATTAAGTCGCAAATAAACTAATCTTACCTTTGGGATTAGGATTTGTTTCAAATACATGTAACTGCTGAGGGGTTTGGGTGAAGGTATATACTTTAATTACTCCTTCAAGAATGACAACTATTCTATCACGACGCAACCGCACTCCCCTCACTGGTGCATTAAATTCCAGAGCAATAACAGGAGTTTTCTTCAGATCATCCCAAACCATTACTAAAATACCACAGAAGTAAATGAAAATAAATCAACACTTCCCAAACAAATTTCTAATAAGGTTTAAAATTTTTTTTCCCCCTTTTTGACTATTTGACTTGACCTTATTGTTAGAGTATCATACAATTTATCATATTCATTGCTCTAAAACAATCTACTAAAATCAAAAACGTTTTTCATATGTAAACATGTTGGTTGATGAAATTCAATTCTCATTTAATAAAATGTTTTTAAAAATATTTGTTCTAAGAGGAAAGGTAATTATGCATAGCAAATTGCATTAACAGGAAAGAAAAAACATTAAGATGAATTCTACTACATGGCACAACTTAAGGATTACGAGACGAAACTACCCATGCTTTACTTTTTATATGTATATACTAACTTATGCATATTGCTCACCACCCTTCCTCACCAAAACGTTCCCCTCATAATCCCCTAAACACCCCTCGCTTCTTCCACTGTGGATTTCCCCTTCGTCAGAACGGTGCAAAGTGCCAGTTTAAACGACTTCCCGAAGTTGTACCATACACTAGATTTCAGCCAAATTTCTTTTAAATAATTTATCTATGTCACTCACAATCTAATTTCAAGAAAATACAGTTCCTTTTGCATGTCGTCATTCATACGTGCTTCCTCTCAATGGCATAGCCCCTCAATCTATAACTTCAATACGACTGTTACAAATTTCTGATGAAGCCTCTAATTTTTAAGGTGAAACATCGATGAAATCATTACCCCATGAGGTGACAAGCAAAATGATAATATGTAATTATGTAAATATTTTTAATGATATGTGTCCATGTACATCAGTTGCATGTAAGGTTCATTAATACAGATTACAATATTTTATTTCTGATTTATAGAGTGATAACTTTTACCCAAATGTGCAACAGTAATAGCAAAGCGTTTCCCACATTTCTTTTAAAACTTTCTTTTCCTTTAAACAAATTATCTTCCAATTTCCAACAGTCTTAATGTGTTAGATAAAACGTTTTTTGCCCCCGTTTGTTCTTTTCTGTTTAAACTCTGATTTTCTTAAAATTAAACAAAGAAACTATGACAACAAATCAAACATACTATAGATACATTTGACTCCTAATTATTTTCAACACAATATTGTTTTGTTTTAATATCACACATTTGTGCTTTGTCAAGCAAGCATTGTAATCATTGCGTAAAGACATAAAAGTGACAGTTACCGAATACAATGATTGTTCTGTATGTAAATCACAGTACTGCCTGTCCAAAATATTTTCAATTACTACATACAGATAAAAAGGCCTCAGGAAAAAGCTAAAACCCATTTTCACATATTAAAATAAAGAAATATGAAAGTAGACCACAATCATACTTAATTTCACAAACATACTAGATAAAAAGTGTGTAGAATAAGGAATTATGAAATCACATCTGCTGTAACAATTATCATGAATTATGATACATCTAAGAAACTATTTTGAAATGGATGTGTCATTAAAATAAGGTGTTTCAAACATACTATCTTCAGTGAGTTTCTTGCACAATTTTGTAATGGTAACTTTGTATAGGCTGTACTTTATAAAGAGAAGAATGCTTGAAATGTGCTAAATATTTTAGCACCATATTATTTATTCTTTCTTTGTTATCTCTTCAATAACTTCCCTTAAATAACGTATCAACTTCAATTATCATTGTTAAAATATTTTGATCAATGAAAGGTGGATACAACAATCTTAGGAAACACTGTAGTTTACACTTGAATCACCAATACAATATAATTAATACTTCCCAAATTCATGGCCACGCTATTAATAATGGGAAGAATTCATAGGTCTTTGTCAATTAATATTCTAGTTTGCCAATATTTCTGAACTTCCATTGTTCCCTTTTCAGGGCTTACTATGGTTGAATGTTGAACATTATAAACAACTGAACCACAACATGTTATCAAGGACACTAACACTCGCAAGACCATCACCCTCTGGCTCCATGTTCAACACTTCAGTCTTCACTTGTGTTAACACTACTTCTCTCAGGCTCGACGTCCAAGACTAGTCTTAACCAGTTAACCTTCTTAAGTGTTCAGTCTTAAACATGGAGTCAGAGTGGCAACTTCAACATTCAATCATAGTAAGCCGTGAAAATGGAAAAATAAAGTTCCGAAACATTGGCAAAATAAAATTTTAATTAAGTGAGCAACACCCATGAACTCTTCCCATTATATAATTAATATATGGCATATTCGGAAACTTTCTGGAGGTAATTGCAATCTTGAAATAGGTATTCATCATTATAAGAGTCAGGATTTTATTGGAAATTTCTAATACACTTATGGTATTACCTACAATCATTTTTTTAATTCACAAAGGAACTAAAGACACACAAAGTAAGAGATCCTCACTCTAGTTATTGCTTTCATTGTTATTAAAATGCTCTAAAGAAAAAAATACATTGAAACATATGGAATATGGATTTGATTTTATAATTTTTTACATATTCTGAATATAATTTTAATATGCTATTGAAGGAAAAACTATTGTTTTAATATAAAATGCTCACAATTATGAGTGTTCTAATTATTGATTAGCAATCCACCACTTGAAATAATTCACTATTTTCTGAATTTCGAAGAGACATTTACAATTGTCAGATGTTTAGTAAGGATATCAAAACAATCAATCTCAATAAAGATGCTTGTTAATGTATATGTCTGAAGTTTCAAACAAATCAATTTAGTTTCCCAACCCTTCTAGAAAAAGCTTATGTAAAAGATGTTAAATGAGAGGGAATATGTATTGGAAATAAAAAAGGGTTACTCTTTTGTTTAGGAATGTCATTCCGTTGGATGGAGATGAATTGTAAATGTGTGTCATTGCAAATAACTTATTCTAAAAAACACGTATTGTCAACAGTCAACTAATGGAGAGCATGTATTAACATGTATCAATACACAATCACTAAAACAAAACACAGAACTGAAACTAGTCACCACTGAATACCAGAGAGACTGTGTCATGATGTCATGTCATGTGTCATGTCTCGCCCCCACACATACCTGAAGTGTATTACTGATTGGTCTTTGGAGTCTTTATGCTGAAGTACTACATATTTAATTTAAAAAATACCTCTGTTTGGAGGATACATTGGTCGCGGTCCTCCTCCTACTAAGGCCAGGTAATTGCATCGGAACAGCATCTCTACATAACTTAAGCCCCCTTCAGCAAAATCTTGTCTTTCTTTTTCTTTTAATGGGTCACAGTTGTACACTCGAAAACCATTTTCCATGCCACACGCAAAGCAACCTATAATTAATAAAGAAATTCAGCACACTGAACACAACGTACATTTGTCACTACTTCATGTGTCACACGCATGTACCTTGATCCTGATTGAAACCTGCATAGAGTAGTCCATTTCCATAACTGTTCGACGTACCCAAATTCATGGTAAAAGTTTCGTTTCTATATGTACGTTATATAAAGTATTCAAATATCACAATTCGCTACGATCCTCCGACATGCCAACTAACTATATGTCAGGAGCCATCTTCATAGACAAAACACGCCGAGGCAGAAAGTGCGCCTGATGTGCCTCACTTTTCAGTTAAACAAATGAATCTCTAAGGCCGTCAAATCACATCCGCATGAAAACATCTGTGCATTACGAATGCTGACACCTGGCTGACACTGAACATTCCACCGTAATGGTTTGAAAGAATGTTGAAGACTACGTTTTGAGGATGATATAGAAATATTCATCGTTTTATGGAGCTGTCAGGGGTAATAATGAATTTTTCGATTTTATCATTTCGTTTTGCGAGGACTGTTTCGTTATTTCAATGTAAAGTGCGGAAGTCTTTTTGTACTTGCCCCACCTTACGCAAGGAAGTACCAAAAAACTTGAAGGGAAAAAGTAAAAGTTCACAAGAATGGTTAATACGTCAGATGAAAGATCCTTACGTTGAAAAGGCAAGAATGTCAAATTACAGGTAGTTTCTTTTGAAGGATATCTTCTGATTTTTAATTGTTTGCTCTGTTGGTTATTAATTCTCTGTGTTCTGCTTATAGATGTAGGAGTGCATTCAAACTTTTGGAGATAAATGACAAATATAATTTTCTAGCTGCTGGACAATGCGTTGTAGACTGTGGAGCAGCCCCTGGAAGTTGGACACAAATTTCAGTGGAGAAAACAAATTCTTTAGGCAATCGTGTGTATTTTTAAAATATCATTTATTAGAATTACTTAAATGAATATAGTGTTAGACAATAATAAATTTGTTTTTGTGATTTCAGGAAGAAATGAGGCAATAGGGCGAGTTATAGGAATTGACTGTCTTTCAATATACCCTATAGAAGGAGCAATTTTGTTAAACAATATGGATTTTACCTCAAAGGAAGCTCAAGAAAAGTTGCTAGGACACCTCCAAGGACAGAAAGTTGATGTTGTGTTGAGTGATATGGCACCAAATGCAACAGGATTAAAATTTATGGACCATGAGAAGATCATTCATTTGGCATATAATGTTCTAAGATTCAGTGTCCAAGTATCTGTGGTGGAAGGCACAATGTTAGTGAAGATATGGGATGGTCAAGAAGCAGATGTGCTTCGTAAGGACATTAAGAGGTATTATAACAATGTTAAAATAGTGAAACCTAAAGCTAGTCGATCTGATTCATCCGAAAAATACATCCTTGCAAGAGATTTTAAAGGTTTGGAAACATGATTTGTAGTAACATGTAGGTGAACTGTTTGTAGTGATTTTTAAAATTGTTATACTTCTCATTTATTTTGTGAATATTTCAAAAGTCTGAACAAAAATAAAAATTGTTAAAATTGAATTATATATTAAAGGGTTTGAGCAAATCTGATGACAGTTGATTGGAGCTATCCCATTGTGTACAAGAAAATATACAATTTTTAATTTCATTTTTATAATTTAGAAAATGTATTTGTTTACAATAAAATCTGTATAAATCAGAACCTGTACAAGCTGGAAACCTGCCTTAACTGAAAAATTTCTCCATCCTGTGAAATTAAATAACATTTTACACAGCATAAAACGGAACCTGTCCAATGTGGAAATGGAACAGTTTTTTGTGTCTCATGAGGGAAAAATCTTTATAAATCAGAATTCCTGTGCATTTAATGCCATTGACAATGAGACAGGAAATATTCTTAATGTAATGAATGCATCTGCAAGTCTGTTTTAATTTATCTGTCCCATGACACGCGATTTAGTTGTTACAGCCACACAGTACAGGAGACGGGATTCAGCTGTTAGCGTAGAATTCGACCTTGTGCCTCAAGGCATAGGCAGTAGGGAAATTCCCTCCTTCCCACTCTGAGTGTAGGAAGGTGTCTGGGCGTGGCTTCTATTCATGCATCTGTCTGCCCCTTGAGAATCTTAAACCCCACAGCCAAGAGTCAAAACAAATTTATAAAATTGTTAATTTTAATGCTTTCTAAAGTATTACCTGATTGGTGTGAGCAATGACAAATTACTTTGGTTAATTGTTGATGTAAATAAGTTTAAATTCAACTTTAGCATTTGGTCCAAGTATTTACAAATGTATTCTCAACACAATGAACCACAGTTGAGTGGCACTATTTTCAGGTCTATCTTTTAGTTGAGCCTTTAACATTTCTTTCATTGATTTCTTATCTTTTTATATATTAGAAAACATTTAACAATTTACAAAGTTTTCCTTTAAATTGGATGGATAAATTTTGAGCTTTCAAATTTATATCAATACTTGACAATGTCTTTTTAACAGCGAGAAAATAAAAATTCAAAATATTAAAATGTGAAAAATATATTTTTAATAAAATTGGGAAGAGCATTCTTAGAGGAAAACAATTAAAAAATTCATTTGATTAGAATGATATTTCTTTCATTATACAATGTTTTGTTTTACGTCTAAAAGATACAATATGCATACATTTAGTATTGATCTGCGACTTCCCCATTTCTGAGAATTTTCTTTATAAATTATTGGAAGTTTGAAATACATCCATTAATCTATCACACAAAAAATGTCAAACACATTTTTTATGTGTGTTTCCCTTTATTTGAATTTTTGGAAATGTGAGTAAAAATTAAATTAAATAATGTTCTGCTTTAGAAAGAATTTAGTAGAATTATGTATGTAATAATATTGTAATGAAACATTAAATAATTATGCAAAAAACATAATCATAAATACCATGCAACTCACTGAGTTATACGGACATACAGCTATAAGGTGGTGGTTAAGAAACGTTGTGAAGGTCTTGTATCAGCTCTTTTATATTAACTGAGAGCTAATTGAGAAGTTCATTTGCAAACAGAATGGTCCTTTGAAAGTAGAAGACTTGCTAGTGTACACCCTGTTGTCCTCTTTTTAGTTATGTACATCTGTATTACATCATATATTTATTACTAGCCAAATATTGTTTATGATTATTTCTTAACAATAGAACTAACTTGTAAATGTAGTGTGTTGCATTGATCAGTATTTCGTATTTAATGTGGAAGTCTTTACATGGCAATCTTGGTTTACTTTGAAATACATTTCCGAGACACTTCTTTTGTTGTTCCAGTAATCTATTGATTTTTTTTGTCTTCTTCACCCCATATTTCAAAACCATGCAGTAGATGAGAATGAGATATATCAAAACAGGCTGATAAAAGTGCACTAGTTTTGAGGTTTTGGAAAAGAATGTATTAAAGTTTATTTTATTACAGGGAGTATTCATATGTTTATTGAAAGTTAGGTTTTGATCAATGAATAATACTAAAAAGTTATAACAGTCTGGTTGTTTCACAATCTCATTCTCAACTTCAACTTTAATGTTTTGTTGAGGGCATTTATGATTAAGTTTAAAGTTGAATAACATAGTTTTGTCAACATTTAATTTTAATTCATTTAATGACAAGTAGATTTTTAGTTTATTTAAAGACTTAGATGACTTAGGTTGGGCCCATTATGCATTAAAATTGTATTGACTCAAAACTGTAACTGAATCACAATTTGATTAAACTTTAAATAATGTATTTTCAGAATGTCACAAAATGAATATACATTGTTTGAGTCCTTTGCGTTATGATCTTATGAGGTCATTAACTTAATTCCTTATTCTAAAACAGTCTAGCTTAGGAGTATTTTGTGAGACTCACTATCAAAGGCAATTGAGAGGCCATTGATGCTGCTTTTCTGTTTGCTTCCAAGAATTTCTTGAATGAATTCAACAACAGCAGCTTTCAGAAAATTACTGAGTCTTACTAAGATTTTACTTAGAGTTCTTTTACAAAAAGTCTTATTAAAATGACAAACTTTTTCATAAAATTTGCTAAATACTGAGGTGAAAGTCTGTAATTCCTTATATTTTGTTTATCTTTTCTCTTAGCTAATGGTCTCATAATAATGATTTTTAGGGAGTCTGAAAATGTGAGTGCCGATAGAGATGAATTTCGATAGACCAAAATATTAAGTAGGGCAGGCTTAAATTTTGTAAGATTGTTGAAAGTATTTCATCTAAGGCTGATAAATTACTATTTTTGAGGGAATTCATTAATTGAGTAACTTCAGGAACATGAGTGCGATGAAAAAACGTAGAATTTGCCATTCTAGGAAAAGAAAAAGGACTGCTAACATTATTTTTACCTGTATTATATTTAGAGTTGAGGAAGTGGTTATTAAAGAACCTACAAATGTCAATGTTCAAGATTTTTGTAGATGATATCTAAGATCAATAAGTGCTATGCTTAATGTTTTAAGAGCAAAGTTAGCTCAAACTGGATGAAAATTTTATCAGTTTAAAAGGCAATGTAAATGATCATGTAAAATGATCAACTTAAAGTTTTGAGCATGTCAGGAAAATGTTTTTCTCTTGTGAACATCTAGACTGGTATTAGGAATAGCATAATATGATATAGATTCAATCAAATTAGAACTGCTAATAGTTTTGAATTGGCATGCAAGAACTTTTTGAAATTGACTAAGTACGTGAAAGTACTAAGATAAAATTTTGTTTCTTCACTATGGAAGGAGGTTGGTTTTTTTTCTATTTATTGTGTATTTTTGTGCATAGTAGATACCTCAAATTTCTGCTGTCTTTCAGGCAAAGTTGTTATTCTTCTGTATTCTTGAGAATAGGTTTGCAAACTTAGCACACAGTAACAGTGAAACTTCTACTTGTATAAAATAAAATTGTTTTTGTCTCTTCTGTTTTACTCTCCTCTTGAAGTAAAAAAAAACATTGCTTAACCCTTGATTAACTCAAATAAAGTAACATTTTCCCCCTGTGTGTATTCTAAAATTAATGCCAAAAATTCTGTAAAAAAATTATTCTTATTATAAAAATATGGAGTTTGCCTACTTACCTGGTGCCAAGACTGGGCAAATGGAAGTAAGAAAACACCTAACAGAAGAACTGGTGCTTTAGAAACTTTTTCCTTTGCATTCATTGTTGAAAACATGTGTACCCAAAAACCTGCTCCATTTTTTGTGTGTTTAATTTTTGGCCTGCAAATTATTTCATTGTCTCAATTTGTAGCAATTCCAGATCTACTTTTTATGGAAATCAGAGCTAAATTTTTCCTAATATACAGGTTTACATTATCACATGATTTCATGAACATCAATGTTTTCTTCACAAACCGTAGTAAATGAAATGATCGTACGTCATAAAAGTGTGATTGCAAGTGGTGAAAGAGTAATTAAATATAAAATGAAAAGAAGACAAAGGATGAGTTGTGTACTTTGCTTTTGGGGTGGTTATGTTAATCATGTGATAGCATGTTAGGCACGAGCAAATCATACTATATAAAGAACTAAGAGTGTAACTTTTGATTCCATTTGTGGAGCCCTAAATCACTTCTTGAAATAGTTGAGGATTTATTTGAAAGTTTGGGGAGTAGACTAATAGGGTCTCCACCTCCACCCTTTAAGGAGTCCCCTAAAGGTTTTTTTCCCTTCATTTTTTGTAACCTTTAATGTACATTGGCATGACACAATGTGGTTGAACACGCAGGGACAGAGGCATCATTGGCACAGGCTCAGGTGTGGTGGAAGGAAGTGCTGGGAGCAGACTGGAAGAGTGCAGGATGGCAGGGATGAGAAGAGTGAGATGAGGGAAGCATGGGATGGTGGGGATTTAAAGAAAGGTACTTCCACTTAACACTACCAATAGAAATCATTCCATTTCTGCTTAATTAATGATTGCAATAAATAAATAAATACTCTGGGTTACTTCAACTATTGTTTAATTATTGTTAGTTGTTTTATTTCATCACTTCATAGAATGTTGGGCTTCTTGGCCTAGTAACTATGTCACTAAATTATACTGTTCGAATATTATAATCGATTAAAATTACTCAAGAAAGGAAAGCATGAATAAAATTTTAAAAAATCATTCCACTTTGTCATTTATTTCCAGAAGTAACTGCTTGTAATATTTTCTCAGTGATGGATCGTTGATTTTTGAAAACTGTATAAATGCATGACCATGCATAAACATAATTACAAGCAAAATTAAGCAAGTCATGTTAATTACTATATTTGAGGATAAAACAAAAACATTCAATAATGTTACAGTAATAACTGTTGTTGTTTTTTTGTGTTAAAATTATTTATTTATAGTCGCATCAACTGCTGGGTCATTAGTGACTAATTGAAATATTATAAGTAACAGTTTCAAAGGAAGGCAGTAGCAATAATTCTAATTTGTTTTGATAGTGTAAAATGTCTTTTGTATTTATTACTGAATTTCTCTCAATTATTATGTTACTAATATCTAAAAATAAAGTGACAGTTTGACAATTTAAAGGTGCATAAATAACAAATATATTTCTCTCCCATATGTCACATACAGTTTTTAATGTTTTTTGATGATAAATTAGATGAAATCAAAGTTTCTTCCTTTTTCACAATAAAATCCATTTCTAAAAGCAAAATGATTTAGATTTTAAAAAAATGTAATTCTAGAAAATCTCCAGAAATCAGGTGTTTCTCAATATAAGTTAAAAGAAATATTTCCCCCCAGCAAATATTTTGATTAATCTTTTAAGATCCACTGTGAAGAGACTTATTTTGAAGGAACTAAACCTAGAAAAAATTCTGTACTTTAGCTTAGGCACAAGCTTCTGCTCTAGGATTACACAGAAATTTAAGGTAACAAAGGCATTTATTGAGTAGTAGTTCAATAGATATCTTTCTTTTGTTTGCTAGTAATTACAAAATTCACAGAGAAAGTAAAGAGATTTCTTTAAATATTATTACAATAGTAATAATAAATAATCTAACAATATAACAACTGAGTCATTATCAAAATGACTTTTCATAAATTTCATTTATCAAGTATATTTAAAGACTATAAATACAATAATGTTTTCCATTATTAATAAGCTTTTAGTCCTGAGAATTTAATTTGATTAATGTTAGCTTGCATCTAATATACACTTTATTGATAATGTAGTAACTAAACAAAAATGTCAATTTAACATGTGAAAAGAAATTTCAAGGATAAAAACTATAACAGATTTCTAAATATAATTTAATATTGTTTTAGATATTTTTTTACATTTTCAATACATTTATGTACACATACATCAAAATATCAAACTTTGATAATG